GTGTGTGTGTGTGTGTTTGTCTGTGTCTGATGTGGTATTACAGTGCTATTGTGGGCCCAGTCTCACCCTATCACAGGTTAAGAAGCTTTGCGGTTGATGCTACGCAGTGTTCATTGTAGCTTTCTTCAGGTCAAGCGCACATTGCACGCACACACACACACATGGATTAGTAGTATGTGGGAGGCTGAAGGGACCTCCCTAAAGCTGTTGGCTTGTCACCAACCAAAAGCTTTCCCCGGAAGTTTCTGGCAAAAGCTGAGTCACTCGACTTTTAATATAAAGACAGAAACACGTGTCTGATTAAGAAGTTTCTCTCCTGTGTGTTCCAGGTAGATGCTATTTGACAGTTGCTCTACTTCCTCTGATGCAGGACGAAGTATACTGAATAGTTGAGGGGAAGTTGTCTGAGCTGATCAGTTTCAGCAGAGAGGAGCAGAAAACTGGATCTTCTCTTCGGGACAGCTTCTTGAAAAGTGTTATTTTCTGACGTCAACATCCAACAAATTCATCCCTGTTGTGAGGGGATGGAGATATTTGTTGTGTTTTCACAGGAAAATCAAAGCTGTGTCCAAATTCCATTCCACATGCTCATTGCTCAAAGTTATCTAATTTAAATTATATAAAATTATCTCTCCCCTGTCTATAATGGTGTAATGCCTGGAAAGTATAATGCAATGCACAAGAGAAAAGCCTCTTACAGCCGCAAACAAATTGGGGACAGTGGTAATGTTCCTGAAGCTTCTCAAAAAAATAGTATTTATCTTTTAAGTAGGGGCAGTTGATGGTTTTATATCTTGGTCGATCTTCAAGATCGTGGTACAACATTAATGCTCGATCTATGTCCTAATAACGTGGATCCATGACAAATCAACACAGAACGATTTGAGGTCGCAGCAAGGTGGAGGAGGAACTGGTACGTGGAAAGAGGAACCTGAGGCGGTCATATTCTACCTACAGTATTTGGTCCCGTTCAAAGCGTTTGGGGATTTAAGACCCTGAGGGACACTTGAGATGCACAGTCTGATCTGCCACTGTCTATAAATCTGGTTCCAGTCTGCGTATTATCAACATTTCAAAACTTGCCCACTCCTGCTTTTAATTTGCTACACTTGAAAATGGGGCATTGACATCTAGTCGTGCACGTGACGTACGATTTCCCCTTTGTATTTTTCTTGTACGAGCACAGTGCCTGTTTAAAATGGGCCTGATCGTTTGACCTTAATTCTTCTAGCTTGCAGTTTTCTTCTGAGCATCTTCAAAACAACTTCGCACTAAACGCTGCACTTCCTTGGGGTCCTGAGCGAAAACATCGTTTGTGTGGAGAAGCTCCACAAGACCAGCGTGCTGCAGTGTGTGTGGTCACTCTCATTTATCATCGTCCAGCCTTGTTGATACAGAGCTGCAATAGCACCCAGCGTGGAATCAGGACACAGCACGATTTCCCTCTGAAGGAGAATGGATTAAACAACGATCCGCACCATTGAGGTTCGATCCATCCATTCCCCTAAATATTATGGTAGACCTGAGCCAATCAGAGGGGCCGACTGCGAGGTCATGTTACCTCTGACCCTCGATGAGGTCGCCAGCTTGTTGTTGATGCGGCCACGAGCGGGAGGGCGGCCGTGCTTTATGTCCTGGCATGACTCAAACACAAACATACGCTCCTGACACAGAGCCAGTCTGTCTGAAGGAGAGAGGGCGGAGCAGGGTGGGTGCAGGAAGCCACAGAGATACAGCACGACAGACAGACGACAGACAGACAGACGACAGACAGACACAGCACACGTAGAAAAGCTAAATAACGTATGGACACAGACATATGCACATGATTATGGACAAATACAAGCAAACAAACAAGCAAACAAACTCAGTAACACACAGCAAATCTGACATGAACTGTAGCAAAGGCCTCTGATGAATTCTGCCTCAGCCAGTTTTCCTGCTCGCCTAAACTTCACGGTTCAAACCATTGACTGTAAATAAAGATGGACGTCTTGATAGCTCCTAAAATTGAAGCCAAATCATCTTGATCGCCCCCTGGTGACCGGCTGTAGTACAGGTCATAAAATAAGCAATATTAGTCGTCGAATGTCAAATATTTTTTGGCGAGAGGATCAGAAGTTTGATCCACGTGTAGAAACAAGATTCAGTGAGAACGACTCAGACCCTGTGGGTGAATTACACCTCAGAATAATGAAATATCATTTTTCACCTGTTACAAGCTTCTTTTATTTGTCCGACTCCTCCCTGAATGTTGTAATCTCTCTTCATGTTAAAAAGGTTTATAGTGTGGATGACAGCAGCTGGTCCATATAATAAACTGTCAAACTGGTCCTGCGGCAGCAACACACACACACACCCACACACACACACACTCTTACCTGAGAAGAAGTGGGCCTTGAATCCTTTCTTGGAGACCGTGTTGTCGGACTTGAACTCAATTCTCATGTTGTTGTATTGAGAGGTGATGACCTCGGGGACCTCGGTGCCGCAGTATTTCCCATGCAGCTTAGAGTCGGACGAGAGGCCGCTCCGCACCTCCACGTAGTCGTATTTACACACCTGAACACACAAATTACGGGCTTCAGTGACACGCCCCCTCTCAGCACCCCAGATTTTATTTTAATGAACGCGTCACAGCACACCCTCACCTCATTCCCCTCCAGCTCAAAGGCCTCAAACTGCATGGAGATGCGGTACTGGTTGGGGGCGACCACCTGCCACACGCAGTTCTTGTTGGGTGGATACTCTTTAGGCCAACCGGGGGTGCTGATGGTGCCGTTCAACTTTGAGAGAAGGCCACCACACGCAGCTGCAAACGCACACATACAAACAAACCATTCAGAGAGTCGCTTTAAATAGCTCTTATCACGCTGTTGTTAAAGTGTTCTGGTAAGTTTGGGTTTAATTGGTTGTTGGATAAACGAGGTGAAACAATGGCTCCATTGCTACTGCACAGACATGTGTCTGTATCCGGGGTATTTTAGTTTATTTTCTGGAGAGTGGGACTAAGTGGAGACACGTCGTCCATCTTTATTTACAGCCCTCATATTGTTCCCACATGTTAATTCGCTGCACAAGCCAAAGTAACGACCGCTCTAAAGAGGAAATACAGCAAAGCCACAATTTGGACAAGCCACTTGCAGCGTTCTCAGAAGTGGCTTGTTCAGTTGCTTCAGCGTGTGGGTCTTTACAGGCACTTCATCAGTTTTGTGAGATTAAAGGACCTTCACAGGGTTTGAGGCTCTGGAACAACGACGCACGTGTTTTTTCCTGTTGATGGAGGCTGTTCGGATGTTTTTTAAATTCTGACGAGTTACACTCACATCCTCCAGAAACACACAGAGGCAAAGGAATGCACATGGAATCCTGAGTTCAGCATACCACACACACACACCCACCCACACACACACACACACACACACACACACACACACACACACACACACACACACACTCTGTTACCTTCACAGCTCTTCTTGTCAGGAGCCAGTTCATAGCCCGGGTCACAGGCGCACTTGAAGCTGCCGAGGGTGTTTACACACCTCTGTTCACAACCACCATTGTCTGGCTTGGCACACTCATCCTCCTCTGAAAAACACACACGTCAGAGCACATTTTTACACACATGAGGAACGCTGTGGTGCAAAACACAATCGACACACTCACTCAGCCTCTCTCCATTACAAACACGCACCTTTGAAAAAGTTAGCAGCAAAGCCGGCCTTGTTGACCGTCCCGTCTGAGACGAACTTCATCCAGAGCGTGTGTGACGTGGAGCGCACGTCCTCGGGTTTGTCGTAGCCGCAGAAGCGACCTATCAGGGGGCTGGTCTCCAGGGGGCCATCCCGAACCTCCAGGTAGTCGTACGCACAGCTGTCGTGCCTCTCAATCTGCAGAAACACACAGTGAGATACGAAAATACTAAGAATCAAGGTCTTCACTGATTTTTATATTCATATCATATTATATACTACTGTCAATTTATACCTACACACATGTATACACAACATTTCTAGTACACACACATCTTTATAAAGTGTCACATGTAGAGTGGAATGCTCTAGAGTGCACTTTGCTTCTTATCTTATCTTAAAATACAGTAGAATAGAAAAGAATGGAGCAGTTGTTGCAATGAGATGCTGAACATTCATGTGTGACGGCAGGTTGGCAACACACTGAGTCATTTAGTACTCTGACATTTTTACAGCGAAACAACTACAAATCCAATCCTCAACTGCTCTGCTCACACCCACACACACACACACACACACACACACACACACACACWCACACACACACACAGACACACACACACAGACACACACATGGCCGTGCATGCACAAATACACGCATCGCTTTTATTAACTTCTTAGCAGCTATACAAGCATGAAATTTGACCCAGACATTCCTAAGCACGCACACACACACGCACACACACACAGACACACACACACACACAGACACACACACACACAAACACACGCAAACATGAGCGCACACATGCACGCCGGGAGGGAGTGAGTCACCTCGAAGGCCTGGAAGCTGAGCCCGACGTTGTAGCCCTCGGACACAGTGATCCTCCACACACACTCTTTGGACGGTCTGTAGTCGTCGGGGTAGTTGGGCGACTGAATCTGTCCCGAGTCCTTGGTGATCTCCCCCCCACAGATCGCTGCACACGAGACAGACAGAAAGACAGAAAGACAGAGAGACACAGAAAGAGACAGGATGAGCTATCAGTAACTCCACTGACCCACAACAGCTGAAACACACGCATGGTTCACAATGAATAATGAAGACCCCAAGAGATCGATGCACAAAAGTCGCTCAGTCACTTGAATTGAGTGGTTTGTTTCATCACACAGTGAGTTTCCAGTCTGTGGATTCATATAATTTAAGTTTATCAGTTTATCACATCTACGTTGATGTATCTGATCGATCCGTTAGAAAAGGAGTTACCTTCATACACGGCAGCAAAGCCTTTTCCCACCCAGTTGCTGCTGCTGCGGAACTCAATCCACATTCTGCTATCGGTGGAAATCAAGACGTCAGGAACTTTATCTCCACAAAACCTGCCTGTGAAACACACACACACACACACACATGAAATCAGAAAAGTACACAAGATGTTTCAGTCAGGCGGAGGAGAAGTTTTGAAATCTGCCCTAAAAACCTTTCCCATATAAACAATTTGAAATATGAAAAACACAGATTTTTCTTCTTGTAAACAAGAGATTTCAGGCTGCACCACTCATACTGAAAGTGTTTAAAATTGACATTTTAAAACGGTGAGACCCGGTCCTATGGAGGACGAGTCCTCCTGCAGCAGCTGCTCTGACCCGGCCCTTTGCTGCGTGTCTTCTCCGCTTCCTATCCACACTTCATGCTTATCTACACTGATCTCAGCTCACCCCTGGCTGACTGCCTCTGGATCTTACCGAGCAGCGGAGCTTTCCTCCAGTATCCATCCCGGACCTCGATGTAGTCGTACCAGCACAGACTGCTCTTGTACAGATCCATGGTGGTAAAGTTGAGAACAATCTGCGAGAGGAAAACAAAAACACACACAGTGAATAAAGTTCATCCAAATCCATCAGAGAGCAGAAGAGGACGGTACCTGAAGTGTTAGGACATAATCAACGTCCTTATTTTTACTGGCTATGGATGCACTACTCTGCAGGGTGCTCTGTGTGTGTGTGTGTGTGTGTGTGTGTGTGTGTGTGTGTGTGTGTACCTTTTCCCCAGGTGTAACAGATATTCTCCACACACAGTGAGTGTATGAAGGGTATCCGTTGGGGTAACCAGGAGACGAGAAGTTGCCCGTTGACTCTTGAAGCGTCTCTCCGCATG